AAGTATGTTCTTATGAGTCTCCGAGTTTCCTCAGTATCTGTTGTAATGTTTCCCTTCTCCTGATTTTATTAATTTGGATCTTCTCTCTTACTTTTGGTTAGTTTGGCTAAAGGTTTGTCAATCTTATTAATCTTTTCAGTGTACCAACTCTTCATTTCATTGATTCTTTATATTATTATTTTAATTTGTATTTCTATTTTTTGATTCATTCCAGGTGTGAACAAATTTGATATGAAAAGTTATAAGTTACCATTGTAAGACTGTCTTCCTTAGGTATGGCATCATAAGTACTGTCTTATTTGTCAGCGGGAAGTTTTGTTGTAGCAAATAACCACTGATTAGACTTTAGATGTTTCTTTAGAAAGGACCTATTTTACTATCTATAAAAATATATTTAAAATATTTTACCTTATGTCTAATACTGACACTTCTCAGAAATATTTAATCTTTCATGATTTACTACACTACTTTTCCTAATTTGATATGGTTATTATCATAGATAACATTTACTTGAGTGTCTTGTATGCATGGTATAGTTAAGATCTTTTAATGTATTAAAAGTCATTTAATTTACATGAATTCTTAAAATAGTAATTATTTTTGTGGAAATTAACTATATTTAATGTTTAGTGTTTTTGGCATATTAGTTTTACCTGGTGTCTTTTAGAACATAAAAATGAAAAATATTTATAAACTTATGTGAAATGTCAGAGGTTTTTGTTTCCCAGTTACTCAACAGTGTGACAAAAGGTTCACTATTTTAGTGTTCAGATTTTAGGCTATTTTTCACTAATTTCTTCTCTTAGGTCAGGACTCTAGTGATTGCATTTTCTCTGATGTTGGTTTGGAAGTCTGACTGCTACATAATCTGGATTATGGAAGTAGTAGAGGACACACTTTTGTCCTCAAATGACATTCACCTCTTGTATTACAGAATATTTTGCATTCTGAAGTACACATATTTTTCCTTACAATGAATAGATGATGTCCTGGCTAGCTTTTTGTCAGGTTGATCCAAGTTTGAGTTATCTGGGAAAAGAACATTTTCTTGATTAATGGTTGATGTGCCAGGGCCCTGTCCACTGCTGTGGTATCATCCCTAGGCAAGGGGACCTGGATGGTATAGGAAAGCAGGCTGACAAGGCATAAGAAGGAAGCCAGTGAGGAGCCTTCTTCTATGGCTTCCCCTTAGTTTCTGCTTCCAGGTTCCTGCCTTCATCCTCTGTCCTGACATCCCTCAGTTACAGATTATGACCTGAGACTTCTGAGATAAACTAAGTCCTTTCCTCCCAAAGTTGCTTTTGGTCATGTCGCTTTATCACAGCAGGAGAAAAGTAAGGAGACCGAGGGGCATATTACATGTCTGGCTGCTCTCACCTTGCCAATGTCAGTTGTTTTTTTTTTTTTTTTTTTTGGTTTTTCGAGACAGGGTTTCTCTGTGTAGCTTTGCGCCTTTCCTGGAGCTCACTTGGTAGCCCAGGCTGGCCTCGAACTCACAGAGATCCGCCTGCCTCCGCCTCCCGAGTGCTGGGATTAAAGGCGTGCGCCACCAACGCCCGGCGCCAATGTCAGTTGTTAACACTACATTTTATCTATAAAACAATTTTTAACTTTTTTTTTGGTCCAGAAACTTTCCCCCTGTTTCTTAGATAGCTATGTGAACCCCTCTGAGGTACAGACTTCATTGCAGCGTAGAGGCTAAGTCACCCTGGGGTGAAAGATGACGTAGGACACTCAGATTCTGGGCTTGCTGCACAGGGTCTCATGCTGGTCTGTCTTTTCCTCGTGTGAAACCGTGGTAACTGGATATGGGAACAGGGTGTGTAGTGAAGTGAGAGCGTCAGTCAGAGGACTGGTCAGGAGTCATGAGATGCTTGTTCTCTGTCTACCCCCACCCCCTTAGTTAATTCAGATCACCATTTTTATGTCTTATGCCAACGGGGTACCTTTCTCCTTGTCAAGGAACTGGCTTTTCACTGGTGTCCTGTACTTCATCATTTGGTTCATTTTGAGGTATTGGGTCAAACCCAGGAACTTAAGCAAGCTGGGAGAACTGTTTTCTAAGTCCTTAAATGTTTTGTTTTCAAAACGAGTTTTGAAGGATCTCATTTTATCTATTCCTTTTACATCTAAGAATTCAGGAAATACTTTCTACAAATTTAGGAAGCAGGATTGCTTTTAAGATATTGAACTGTTTCATCTGAAAATATTAAAGGATGTGACTTTTGTGACTTCACATTGAAATGATTAAGAGCATTTTGCTGATTGAAGAATAATTCTCATTTTCATTCAATAAGCAGTTAGGAATGTTTGCAGTCATTTATACATTTTAGATCCTTATATAGCAAGAATATATTCATATGTACTTGTGTTTACATGTGTGTATGCACATATGTGAATCGCCTATCAGAGCTTATATCATTAGGATTTCATAGCAGAAGTTAAAATAGAACAATAGTATTACCGTGAGATTCAGGAGTTTATCACTTCAGAAGCCTTTCTTGTAAGAGATACAATACAGTTAGAGGGTTAGGAGAAGAGCTTTGCTTACATATTCCTTGGTTTGAATCTCATTGCCACATTGCTAGCTCGGGAATGTCCTTCTGCTTTACCCTGAAAAATTAGATTGAAGACACTATCTGCCCTATATGATTACTATAAAGAGATTCAATAAAGCTTCTACTACAGTTCCTGACTCTAGTAAATAACTAACAAACATTATGTGTTTTAGTTGTATGAGTCTCACAACAGTTTGGAAGTAGACAAGAAAGTTACTTTTATTCCTATTTTATGTAGCAAGGGAGAAGATGAAGGCCCTGGAGATTGTGTGGTATTTCCTGAGAACACAGTGCTGTGTATGTAACAGAGCAAGAACTGGGCAGATTTAGTATCTCATTGGAGAAGAGAAATGAACTTAGAACAACGAAGAGAGATTGGATATAGGAAGAAACAGATGCAATCGCATGTTTTTGCTACCTCGGGGATAAATACACTTGACCACTGAAGTACATCTCCAGCCTCATTTGTGTTTGAGTTTTACATACTTTTGACACCCCAGGAAACACCTTGTTAGTATTAGATATAAATTTATTTTAAAATGACTCAAGGTGGGGTAGGCTAGGACATGAGATATCTACCCACACCCCAGGTTGCATCATGATTTACTGTTGGGCAGAGAATTTACATTTAGGTATTCTCTTTTATACATATAACTATGCTTTCCCCCCTCTAACTTGAAACAATGTGATTAATAATTTATCCATTAGATTGGACATGAAGATGGTATTTCCCAAGTATCTTTATTCTTTTTATAAGGTAATTTATACCAATTGGTAGATTGCAGTTTTTCATCTCTTCTAATTTTTAATTAATATATTCTTCAAAAGTTGTTACTTCACTCATTTACTCAAATACCCACTGTGGACTACTCTCTCGGGGATACAGACACGTGTAGACACAGAGCCTGGCCTCACAGATTGCTAGTCTGGTAAAGAGGAAAAACATGTAACATAATAAATCTCCCCAATGATCGCGACAATCAAAGCCAGTGTGAGCAGCCCACAGGGAGCGAGGACACAAGCTAACTACCGTTTTTGGGCTTTGTAGATGGTTCTTGAAAGAGCGGCTGTCTCAGAAGGATGTTTGAGGGCGAATAGGAATTTCTTAAGGGAAACCTGAATTTTCTAGTAACTGGCCTGCTTCTGCTTCTCAGACACTTAACACTGTTTCTTACTTGTTCACTAAATTATTTTCCACATGCATTTGGAACTGCTAAAATAAATACCTGGTCTCTCAAGGCTGCTTCAGTTCAGACCAGCAGACTGAATGTAATTTGCACGTTCTTAGCCTCTGTCTGTCATTGCTCGGCATGTCTGTAGTAGGAACATTTCCTTCATAAATACTGTAACACTGTTTTTGGACATATCTTTGAAATGTTTGAATTAATGTTGATGTACTTGAAGCGTTTTGCAAGATTAGTTGAAGAGGATATAATAGAATCCCTTTGGGTTAAAATTCACTGAAGGTTTCTTTTAAGGAAAAGTCTATAAAAAGTTCAGCCATGTTGCCGAGCTCAGCACCCCCCAGTCTGTACCATGTAGGGAAGAGGGTAAGTGAGCCAGCACCTGCTTCTACTATTACCACTCTGCAGATTGTGTCTGAGGACACCTCTGTGTTAGATGGTGGACATAATGACTCCTTTCTCTCAGTGTGGGAATCAGCAGTTAGTCACAGGATTATTTGAGCTCTTTTGTTTCAAAACATTTGTTAGGTAGATTGTAAGTTTTACTAACTCAGCTCATTATGAAATATTAATATGTTATTCATATACCCATGTGTTGTCTCTTACAAGATTGAAATTTAGGTCAAATTACAACCTGAATTTAATTTTAGTACAGAAAATAAGTGTGTCATATTTAAAACCTGTGTTCTAAATTTTAAGCACAATAGATCAAAGTACATCTCATTTAAATAAATCCTCTGGAATAAAGATTCAATTATTATTTTCCCAAACCTGTTTATCTTTCTGCACATGTGTGCATCCCTGTGTGCAAGTATGTATGCACATGTGGGGGTGTATGTGCACATGTACACATGTGGCGGTCAGTATTGTTCCTTAGGGGCCATTCATCTTGTTTTTTTGAGATGGAGTATTAAGGTGGCCAGTGTATTAAGGTGTCCAGTGGCCCCCATGAATCCTCCTGTGTCCCCCACAAACGGGGGTCATACATGGGCACCACCTAACTGTTTACGTAGGTGCTGGGATTGAACTCGGCCCCTTACACAGCAAGTGCCTTCCCCCACTGAACTATTGCCCCACCCCATCCTGGAGTGTCCTCAGGGACTGTTTGCGATATAGAATGGGAGGTTTATCTTTATTTTCTAGAAACTATAAAGATCGTTTATTTTTTATTTTCGTGATTTTGCTTTCAAATGACAGAAATTCTGCTTTGGGAACAACTTTATTTGAATTGTAAGTGACATTAATTTTATTTCTTAAGGCCATGATTAAAAGTTTCTTGGATGTCTACCAGCTTGCAAGTGCTAGAATCTCTACATTAGAGAAGGAAATGACGTCGCACCGAAATCACATTGCAACTCTGAAATCCGAGCTCCACACAGCTTGTCTAAGAGAGAATGAAAGCTTACAATCAGTAAGTTCAGAGCAAAATGCTTTGTCTTCCTTGGGTCTTGGGTCACATGTATATTCATGTTTTTATTGCTCGCAAGATCATTTGGCTGTATCTGTGTGTGAGTGTGTATTTATGTAATTTAGGATAAGCGATCAATCAAATAACATAAGGTTAGTATGGAGGAACATTAGAGAGAAGAAAAAGCGATTAATTTTTCCACTGTATCATGTACAGAGGTATGCATATTGTTCTCACGCTGCTCCAGCACAACATCAGGACGCCTTTGTTCGGCCGCGCACTGACGGCTGGGTTTGCCAGTATGCATAGTTAAAGCTTATAACTGTCTGAAGATTCAGTGTGTCCCATTAAGACAGAATATTATTAATTATGCGTATAACCAAAATGGTAATTAGAACATGTGATTATTCTCGGTAGAAAACTAGACTTATTCATAATACATGCCTAGCTAAAGATGCATGTTGTGATTCATCTATATGATTAAAATTCTGTTTCAGTACTCATTTTATGTCTTAAAATTTTAGCCATGATAAAATTTGGGCTAATTTAAAACTAAAAATAAAAAAATTCTACATTTGGGATATGCATTTGGGGAATTTTATAAAATGAATATATTCGTGATGTAGTGGAATGTAACAGACATTCAGAGGGTTGTTAGTAATTGGACTGTATGTTTTCCTTTTTTGATTTGGTTATGATGCATGGTGGGGACTTCTGAGTACAAACTACAGTTTCTAGATTCGGCTGTGGACCTGTTTCAGACGATGATGCTCAGCGGCACAGGAGCTAACCTGGCTGACCTTAGGTTGCTGACAGCTGTGCCTTGGCTGGGCTTTTTCCTTCCGGCTTGAGCTCCACTGCCAGCGTTTCAGTGACACCTTTGGGACTGTGGTGTTTGGAACAGCAGCCAGCCACCAACCCCTCCCTCCTGCCCCACTCCTCTCTGCCTCTCTTTGCCCCTCATGTCTACCGCTCTTGCTTTCCTCTTTTTACCATAGCTGCCGTCATCCACTGCCTCTCTTTGCCCCTCATGTCTACCGCTCTTGCTTTCCTCTTTTTACCATAGCTGCCGTCATCCACTGACCATGAGGTATTTCACGGGTGTGCATTGTCTGTTTGCTCCCTGCGCTTACTTGAACCCCAAATACACTCTACAAATACAAGCCCTTTGGAGGTGACACCCTGGGTGGGCCAAGAGCAGTCTGGCCACAGTCGATACCTAATATTTAGGAACATGAATATTAGGAATTTACCTAATAAATATCAAAAGTCAATTACTTGGGACCTAGGATGTCAGTTCAATTTTTTTTATCCTTTATTAGATTTTTAATGAGAGCTTAATGATACTTTGACCTCTACTAAGGGAGATTATGATTAAAGAGGGAACATTGCACATTTGAACATTTGAATTTACATATTCATCTTTCTTCATGTTTATTCTCTGTTAGAATTGTATTATACTGTTTAGCTTATGTTAACTGGGTTGGGTTGTACCAATTCTTATTGCTTGTTACTATTAGTCACAGAAAACTAATTGCTTGTATTTTAAGAAAGGCAAAACTTAATGAACAGAAATTGTTTCTCTAATTGTTACTTTTTTTAACCAATTACTTTTCTGATGAAATTGTACTTACTGTTATACCAAAACCACCTTTCTGGTCTAAACACACTTGGTCATTACCTCACATGTGAGATGTGTTCATTCTCGCCATGGTTCTCATGAAGGGAACACATGAACTGTGAAGACTTATCCTGGGATGTGATCTCTCATCCTGGGAAGCTCAGGGTCTCTATGTGTGTGCGCTCTTTTGTTGATTTCTTTCGTTGAACATCACTATTTCTAAAATAGTAACACATCTTCATGATGATTTTGTTTGTCAAGGCATTTGCATGTGCTCTTTCTAATTTAAACCTCTTAAGAACTTTGAGGGAGGGAGACAAACAAGCCTTAGACTTCGTCTGATATGGATATGAGGCAATAGTGCTTGGTGGGTTAAGAGCATGAGCTTTGAGTGTGTCTCCATTTGGAATTCTACTAAGTATACATTACAAAAATTAACATGAATTTTTATAACAGAAAATTATAGTTATAAATTATAACCAACATAGTAAGTGCATTTCTGTTACCTTTAAAAATACAGTGTTTTTATTTCACGGGTTCTTATTATAACAGTAAGAAATCTAGATGTAGGTGGTTATTTTTGCTAGTTTAGTGGTTCATTTTATACATGCAATTCCTAAACTGCTTCCTTGTTGTCCTTGGATGTAGTAATCAGCTTTAGGATTTTAAGTCGCATCTAAGGTAGAAGGACAGGTTGCCTCAGCAGCATTTGGTACATGGATTTTCGTTCTGTTCATTGCTAACAATGGGGTTTGGATCTCCGAATTTTCAACTGCAAGTGAGAATGATGATACTACTTCCTAACACAGATATTGGGAAGTCGACTGAGAAATGTTCAGCTGCTTTGGACTTTGCCATGTGCTTAATGAGTAGATAGGTGGTGTGTGTGTGTGTGTGTGTGTGTGTGTGTGTGTGTGTGTGTGTTATTAGTTTAATAACTTTTATTCAGATAGAAAATTGAGTGCATCACCTCAGGAAGGTTATCTGCTAGCCTAACACTTTCAGTGGCATCATTTTGTTCTACTTTGTACTGTAGCTTGTGTGTTCTTTTCTGTCTATGGCAGCATCAGTGTATTCCAAAAACTGAGCTCACTGCTCTTTCTGAGGCCTGTCGTCTTCTTTTTCATTGACTAATTCTTAAAATTCAGACTAAAAATGCCTGAGGATAAATCTTGGAAAATTCAACTTATAATTCCTGAGTTATAAAGGTTATAAAAGAGGCTGTGCAAGAAAAACAAAATATATACCATGGGGACAAAATATTGCAAGAAGAATCTGTAGTCAATAGTGTCAGGGGCTTTGGAAGTACAGTAGAGCAGAGGTTGAAAATGTCCTTTAGTCTTGACCTGTGGAGGCCACTGGTTACCTAAACAAAACCTCTTCTAGCAAGGTGTTGGTGGGTATACAGGAACTGACCCTTTCCAAACCATGGTGACTTTAAATTTCCTCAGATATTTAGCAGCTGTATGCAAGACAGAGGCAATATGTTCTGAGGGACCAGAGAATTCTAAGATAGGAGTGACTTCTGTGGTCTATTGTCTTGAGACCCCTAAATATAGGCCCCCCCCAATTCTATCCAGTACACTATACTTTTACTATTTTAGTTCATAGCATGTCTTTTTCAATCCTTTTCTTTTTACCCTCCTATGCTTTATATTTACTGTGAGTTTCTTCTAGAAAGGAATGGTTTGGTTTTCCTTTATGCATTTTCACAGTCTCTGGTTTTTAGTTAAGTAATTAAGCCATTTATAATTAATATGTTGCTGATAGGCTTGCATTTTTCTATCATTTAAAAAATGTGTTTCTTCTGTTTTTGTTTCTCTGTGTTCCATTTATTTTTTCTCTTTGATTATTTGAATTTATTTCAGCATTCTGAAATAAATATGTCTACTGGCTATATATATATATATATATATATATATATATCATTATTCTAGTGATATATAGATATATCTTAATATTGTTTTTGAGCCCATCAAGAAAAGTATAAAACCTTACAAGGAGTTCTCAACCCTATCAAGAATCATTATAGAAACCCACGCCCATCAAAATGCTGGATTGTGAAGCTCAATTCTAATGGATACAGCTACAAAACACTTCCTCACCTAAAGCTCAGGGAACATTGCAGAAGAGGGCCTGAAAGATTGTAATAGTCAGAGAATCATGGAGTTTGCTGTGAGACTGTGTCCCCTAGCAACGTCGTACATTACAGCCCATAAAGTCTCACCAACATAACTGCTCAAGTGTGAGCTGAACAAGGACAATAGACATGCCAAAGTGGATGGGAGATAGAGAATTACAGGCAACTAAGAAACATGGAGAGCAGGAGAAATAGTCTTCTCCAAGGAAGCGTATACCAGTTAGTTATCCAATACCAGTGATCAGCCCTGAAAACATACATATAAGTAACATTGTCTAGACTGAGCAGGTTTATTTAGGAATATATTTATATACTTAAACATCAATGCATGCAATAACAATTAATGAAAAAAGAGGGTAATGAATCTGAAAGAGAAATAAGGAGTGATATTTAGGAGGATTTAGAGAGAGGGATTAAAAAGGGGAAGAAATAATATAATTGTTTTATAGTCTTAAAAATAAAAGAAAAATCCTTACTAGGATGTAAGTTATTTGTTCTCCCATGATTATATCATAATTGACACACACACACATATGCACACATAGATATACATACATATATGTACATTCTTACTCAATTTATATACATACATTGAAAGGGCTACCAGACATTTTTCTTTCAACAGCTATGCATAATTTTAAAAATTATTAAGGCAAATCTTTTATAATTACGTAGACTTTACCTTTTTTAACTTCTTTATCTTGAAGGCCTAAATCTCTGTTTGCTATCATTTCTTTTTAGTCTAAGGAAAACTCTTAAGTAGTTTTTTTAGAGATTCAGTATTATAGTGGATTTTGTTAGTTCTCTTTCTTTTTACAATGTTTTTATTTCACTTTATTTGAAAAATATTTTCATTGACTATGGCCTTCTGTATTGACAGTAGTCTTTCCGCTGTAAAATGTTTTGCCATTTCCCTTACTCCTACAGGATTTCTGGTGGGAACTGTACAGTCACTCAGAGGGTTGTCTCCCTGTACCTCTTATCTCATGTTTTTCTCCACCCTCATTCAAGATTTCTCTCTCACTTTTTTCCAGTTTGATTGTAACATGTCGATGCATATTAGTTAGTTGTTAGATGTTTGTAGGGTAGTGAGTAGAATTTGTCCTATTCAGCGAGTTTCTTGAATCTGGGCATTTATAGCTTTCCCTCTATGTGGGAGGTCTTCAGCCATTAGTTCTTAGAATCTCAAGGTTTCTTTCTCTTTCTCCATCATTTATTTCCTGTTGTTTGATTGGTTGGACT